TAACGAGGAGGGCTTCCCAGAGCTGTCTGGCAGAGGGGGCCCACAGCAACAGGATGAATCTTGAGCTGTCTTTCCCATGCAAGAGGAGGGAAATGGGAATGTGCTGGGCAGCCTGGGCTACCGTGTCCTAACCCAGCCCCTGCCACCTCCCCAGCTGTCCATGCTGTTCACTGAGGAGTGCGACAAGGTGCGGGACCTGATGCACGTGCACTCATTCAGCTATGACTTTCACCTGCGCCTCGTGCACCAGCACGTGCTGGGCGCCCACCTGGTGCTGCGGCACGGCTACCACCTCACCACCTTCCTGCGGCACTTCCTGGCCCACCACCCTGATGGGCCCCACTTTGGTCGTAATCACATCTACCAAGGTTGGTGCCCAAGGGCAAGCCAGTGAACCTGAAAGAGAATCGGCCACAAGCTGTGGGCCGGTGGGACCATTTCCCGGGGCCAGACCTTGTCTTTCTATCCCATATTAATTGTCTCATATCACTTGGACCCTGTCCCCATATCTCTGTCCTAACTTCTTCACAGTCTGTTTCCTACCAAAGTTTAGATCCTATGTCGTGTACCCTGCCCTGTCTGTCCTGAGCCACTTTGTCCCATCTCAGTGTTCCACAGGCAGGGCCAGTCCACCTGTCAGTCAGAGTCCTGGGGACTCCTAATTCCCCAATCTACTAGATCAGTGTGTCTAGCCCAGGCTCACTAATTCCTGTAACTTGCCCCTTAGGGACCCTGGAGCTCCCCACACCACTCATTGCCGCCCACCAGCTGTACAATTATGTGGCTGACCATGCCAGCTCCTACCACATGAAGCCATTGCGAATGGCCCGGCCAGGGGGCCCAGAACACAATGAATATGCCCTGGTGTCAGCATGGCATAGGTAAGGAGGAAAGGGGACACCAGCATGTTCTCTGGTGGAACTGTGGTCAGGGCCATCCTTGCAGTAGGGAGACCTGTCTTTTCTTGGGCAGAAGGGGTGAGGTTGACTTCACTGAAATCTCGGGGTTGACATCTCATCCCCACTGCACAGCTCTGGCTCCTACCTGGACTCTGAGGGACTTCGTCACCAGGATGACTTTGATGTGTCTCTGCTTGTCTGTCATTGTGCTGCACCTTTTGAGGAGCAAGGAGAGGCTGAGCGGCATGTTCTGCGGTCAGCAGATCCCCCACCTTGAACATGCCCATTGCCCAGCCTGCCCCCTGCCCTTGCTATGTGTCTCCTGCTATAACCACCACTTTCTTGCCCCCTCCCCACCCCAGGCTGCAGTTCTTTGTGGTGCTCACCAGCCAGCGAGAGCTTTTTCCCAGACTAACTGCTGACTTGCGCCGGTTCCGGAAGCCACCCAGACTTCCCCCTGAGCCAGAGGCTCCTGGGAGCTCAGCTAGTAGCCCTAGGGAGGCCTCAGGGTTTGGTCTGGCCCCTGGCCCCACTCCTCTGTTCCCCCCACTGGCTGCAGAGGTGGGTGTGGCACGGGCCCGGCTGGCTCAGCTGGTGCGGCTAGCTGGAGGGCACTGCCGCCGGGATACCCTCTGGAAGCGCCTCTTCTTGCTGGAGCCACCAGGGCCTGATCGACTGCGGCTAGGGGGGCGCTTGGCTCTGGCTGAGCTGGAGGAGCTCCTAGAAGCAGTCCATGCCAAATCCATTGCGGACATTGACCCCCAGCTGGTAAGGAACTGTGGGTTCCAGAAGGGGCTGAGATGGATGTTAGGAATTCCACGGGCATCCAGGGTGGAGGGTGCAAGGGTGGCTCTGGGACAGCAGATCCAGGCCTCTGGACCCTCCCCAGGACTGCTTCCTGTCTATGACGGTCTCCTGGTACCAGAGCCTGATCAAGGTTCTCCTGAGCCGCTTTCCCCAGAGCTGTCGCCATTTCCAGAGCCCAGACTTGGGAACTCAGTACCTGGTAAGTTCCTTCGACCCTCCTCTGGAAAGGGACACTCACCAGAAATCCTCATTGGAGTAATGACAGGTGTCTCCCTCAGAGAACCCCAGCCTGACCAAGCTCTGCTCTAGAGAGGCCTAGACTGCTCAGATACAACATGTAAAAACCCTCTGAGCACTGAGTACAAAGCTGTAAAAGCACAAACCTTCCTTGGCTGGAGATCCTGAGGGCCAAGTTCTGGAACCTCATCGGTGGTTGGTCTTAGAGGCTGTAGTCCCAGAAAGGACTTCTTGGGCTTTAAAGCTTTATTTCCGCCACAGTGCAGCCCTCACACAGCTGTACCAGCATGACCTGGGAGCGTACCAAAGTGCACTCAGGCCCCTCCAAACCCACTGACTCAGAATCTGCTTTTAGCCAGATCCACAGGTGACTGGTGTACACAGTAGAGGTTGAATGCACTGCTGAGAAGGACAGTAGAGAAGAGCTGTGGTGGTAGACACACGCATGGGGGGATTAAGAGGCTAGAGAGATGGGCCCAATGAGAGCAGTGGTCCAGGAAAGGAAACATTCAATGGAAGACTTCACCAGAAAAAGTAGGAGTTGGTTGGTGGTGATACAGGTCCTACAACCTAGTACTTATGGGGAATATTAGGTTAGGTCTTCTGAACGGTCATCCAGAGAAGCCAGGGTCCCTTAGGGTAAGGGTGCAGTACTGTGGATGGCTGTGCACAGATGAGGGGGCTCCTGGAGGTGGTGGGAGTGCTAATCAGGAATGAGCTTGGGAAGGGTGATGAGTTGAGTCTGAGGTCCATAAGGACCTACTAGGACCACAGTTTAAAAGGATCATGTGGACATAAGGGGTTGAAACTCAGGAGAGAGATCTGGGTAGCATCTGTATGAACAGGTGGTCCCTGCAGCCCTGGGAATGCAAGAGATCACCCGGGAGAAACTGCAAAACAGCCTCAGGGGCAGAGATATGTGGGGATGGCCCAGGGGAGGTCAGAGAGATAAAGACCTGGGACAGGACAGGAGGCAAGGAGAGGTCCTATCAGGGGCAGAGAACTCCCCTTCGTTGTTGGGCTGCAGTACCAGCTTTGTGCAGGGCTGCTAGACTTCAGGAACCTTCCAGTCACGCCCCCTCCCCTTGACTTGGATGAGGCTGGACAGGCTGACCAGGGTCCAGTGAGGATGAAGACAGGTTCAGTTTGGAGATGAGGTTCTGGGTGACTGTGGAGTACAGATGGGGTCTGGTGTAGTGACGGAAGCAGTCCTTCTTTAGACTGGTCCCACCCACTCCCAGGTTGCCCTCCAGGTCTGTGCTTCCTCAGGTGAGACAAACCTCACTCCCCATCTCATTTTGTCTTTTGCTGCAGGTTGTGCTAAATCAGAAGTTCACTGACTGTTTTGTGCTAGTGTTTCTGGATTCCCACTTGGGAAAGACGGTGAGAAC